GCAGAGAGACGCACAGTGCAGCGGCTCTAACAGGGCCGAGCTGCTTCAAACAGAAAACTTCTCCCATAAACATCAGCATGACAACAAATCAGCTCTGTGCTTACTAATAACTCAGAAGACAAATTTAAAAAGTCTTGTCCCAGCTAGATGTAAGAGAGATGCGCAGTGCTCCAGCTCGTCATTTCACTGTGGAACATCACCTGTCAGTCACCAGGGGCACAACAAGTGTGGGTGGCCACCGGGGGCTGTGCCCCACCAGTTTTAACCTCTTGAGTCCCAAGCTTTGTGCTTATTTAAATCTTTCCCAGCTATATAAGATTAGTAGTACCTTATGAATATAAAATGTTTTTAAACTAAGAATTAAAAATAAATAAATATATATTTTACTTAAAATAAAAAATAAACCTGAAATTAGTTCATCTGACTAAAAGACAACTAAAATAAATGTCCTCAATAACAGGTTGAAGCTTTTCATGAGGTTAGAGAATAAATCAATATTTTTTTCCTCTATTTTGAAACTGTAGATGTTTCTCTTCCCATCAGCGAGGCTTTGTCAGTTGAAAATATTTGTATTAGTGGTTTGTTCTAACCTTTAAAGCTTCATGAAGGTCTATAGCTTAGAACAGAATAGAAATCTGATATATACAATATATGTATATACATATTTTTTTGATCAGTCATCTGGGTGACTGAGAATCTTGATCAGCATCATAAATAAAACATTTGGTAGCTCAGTGTCTTAGTTGGTAGAGGAGTTGTTTCTCAGTTGCTGGATGAAATCCCAGCCTGGAACCTTTTTGGGTGTTTACATGTTCTCCCTCTGCTTGAATGGGTTTGTTCCCAGTATTCCAGTTTCCTCTCATAGACCAAAAACCTGCAACTTAGGTACACACTGTACATCTCAAATAAATGCTTTGTAATTATTTTGAACAAAATCATGTTCAAGTCTGAGTATTTTCAACAGCCTTTGAAAGTGGGCCAGTCTGTCAAGAACTCCTGGGCCACTTTTTCTCCCCAGTCTTTTTCACTTCCTGACTGCCAGCTGAACTTCACGCTCTTGTGGCACTGCATTGTGACATCACGTGAAACCCTCCTATTGCCAAAAAACACCCAAGGAGCTTTTTCACTTTTCAGCTTTTAAATTTGAGTTGGTGTGAATTTTTATTTGAGATCTGAAAATTTCTCAACAAGCTTATTTTATGCTTTTCTTTCAACTACTTTTAGCTTTTAAAACACTTTTCTTTTCTCCTTTAAAGCACGTATGCGTCTTCACTCTTAAATGCAATTTAGTCCATAAAATCTCAGATAAAAGAAAAATAAAATACGCTATCAGGATCTGGTGCTGTGAAAAGTCCAAATAGGTCGAGTCTATTTAAATCTCCATCCTCCAGATGACAACAGGTGCTCCCTCCTCCCCCTTCTGCCTACACCTGTCTCCCTTCTTAGATTTGGCTTCAACCCAGAAACCAGCCGTCATGCTCAGCACAAATAGTATGCCTGGATGGACAGAGCCCCTCAGTCACCGGATCGGCGGCAGCTGCTCGACCCCAGATTCTATTTTCACTGCTCCTCCCAGGATAAAGAGCAGTTCGCCAGCACGAGCGGAGCAGCTCGTTTCAGACTAGGATGAAGTCCAGCAGCACAGCGCACACCGACAGCTTCACCTCTGACCCGGACAGCGGTTCCGACACCTCGGACGGCTGCAGCCTGCTGGGGGAGTCCGTACAGGAGGAGGAGCCGGTGGCCTATCCTGACGCCCCGAGGCGGACAAGGAGGCAGCAGAGGAGCGGCGGAGAGGCGCGTCTGTCAGGAGTCAGCAAACAGAGGCAGGCAGCAAACGCGCGGGAACGAGACCGAACCCACAGCGTCAACACGGCCTTCATGGCGCTTCGTACCCTCATCCCTACCGAACCCGCGGACCGGAAGCTGTCCAAGATCGAAACCCTGCGCCTGGCCTCCAGTTACATCTCTCACCTGGCCAACGTGCTGCTGCTGGGAGAAGACTGCCGGGACGGACAGCCATGCCTCCGATACCAGGACATCCTGCATGGCCCCGCCGCGATCAACGCCTCTTCGGTTCGGCCCATCTGTACCTTCTGCCTCGGCAACCAGAGGAGACAGGTGAGGAACTTCACCAAGAACTGCTTTCCAGGACAATGACCCCCAGGCTTTGACCAGACCTGCGTTCTGAGTTTACCTGACATAGACAGAAACACGAAAATGAATGTTTTACATGATTTTTTTCCCTTTGTTGTTTTTGTATCAATTTAATCCCAAATTTTAACCTTCATAATAAGTGCATGCATTTCATTCCCCATACTCAATTCAACATTGACTATATTGTCACGCATAGGGTAGACCTATGTGTATACTTGTGGACCCCAAGAAAAGGAAGATGAACACATCAGGAACTGAATGTTTTCCTATAAACTATAACACATAACAAATTTCTCAGACAAATGCACAAGGATCAACATTTTACACATAAGTTTCTATTATAGCCTACTTTGCTGTAGTAAAGCAAATTTTCAGGTCATTGTTCAGCAATACATAGTGTTAGCTGCAGACAGACGCCTGCAAATCTTGTTCCAATCTAATGAAAAAACTTAACAACTTGTTTACTGACAACTCAGTAAACAAGTTGTCAGTTTTACAAAAGTAGGATCTTCATGCAGAATAATATAGTATAGGCTACTAACCAGTGTTTGTCAGAGCTCTAACTTAACAGCTGCAGATATGATAAAATATACATTTATTGTATAGATAAACAATTTGTTAACCTCACAATATATTTTTGTTATTAGTTAAATGAGTTACAACAACACCTAATTTCCCTCTGGGATCAATAAAGTATTTTTGAATTGAATTGAATACAACATAGACCTTTAATATATTGAACTCTGGGAAAAGATAACACACAAATGTAATTTATTTTGCAAATGTACTTTGTCATCAATGCATGTTCCCATACAATACTGAGATTTGTGCTCTGCCTTTGATCATCACATGTGAGAAACACCCAAGTGGAGCAGCTATGTAAGTGCCCAAGGGACAGTTTGGAGTTAGGTGGTTTGCTCAAGGACACATGTAGGCATGGCAGCTCAAGTCTAATCTGTGACCTTCTGACCCCAAGTTGTCTGCCCTACCACTATACCAAATTCGCCCCAAATCTAGACGAACAGCTTGGGCAGAATATGTCAAAAAGTATTTTTTCATCAATTTAATGATTGTGAAACACATTTAAAATACTACACAGTGGTGGGCACTAGGTCCCTTGAAGCGCATATTGCAGAACTAATTTTCTTGTTTGCATTTTTGTGCTCATGCTAAATTTTTATCCATTTATGGATTTGCGCTTTTTAAATTTATGAATGTAATGGTGCTTATTAAATAATTTCTTCATTTGATCGTCATTATTTTAACAGTGGAGGGTGAAGGCTGTCTTAAGTCAATACAATGTTAAAATATTGCATCTAAATAGCAATCCACTACCACTCTACCACTAATACTCTACCCCGGCCCTGTTGAGCTGAGCAGAGCACAGCCTTGACGTTGGCAGCGTCATAATTATGCGCAAGTCTTGTTTAGTATTATTTGCGGCACAACAATAATAATGGACTTCACCAAACTCGAAGAAAAAGTACCGAAGGCTGTACCGGACGCTTACAACAAGAGAGCAGGACGACAGAGAACAGGAACTTAACTGTAGCTAATGTTAGCTTCTTCTTGTTGAGTTTGACTCGTGTGATAGAAAAAAAAAAAAGCTTCAGTCACTTCAAATAATTAACTTGAAGTTAGTTAATCTCATCTGTGTCATGTAATCTGGCCCAGTGAACCAATCAAATGAACAGTAATTGACGTCAAATCGGCAGCCCAGCCCAGATAGAACCACAAGTAATGTAAACAAACAATTGCTTGGTGGTGATTCCTGTTTTGTTATATTTTATAAATGGTAAATGGACTGTACTTATAAAGCGCTTTTCTATCCATCCAGGACACTCACAGCGCTTCACACTACAATCTGTGTCCTCATTTACCCATTCACACAGCACTCTATTAGATCTCCTACAAAGCTAACATGAACAATTAACTATGGAGACTAATCAGTGCCAGTCACATTCATATACTGATGGGACACACATCAGAGGCATTGGGGTTAAATATCTTGCCCAAGGATACAATGGCATGTGGGGGAGTTGAACCTGTGACTTGTGGGTCCCAAGCCGGCTGCTCTACCACTAAACCATAAATATGTTCAAGTTTGATAATGTGAGAGGAAGCCACATTTTTCTGTTTATTCAGTCAGTGTTAAACACAGCTGGCACAATGGATTGTCAAAATAATACTGTACTTTATTTTAATTTAGCATGTAAAAAATCAGTGCTTCATGTTATATAAAGACTCAATTCAAGAGAAATGTCAGACTTTTAAGAAAATGGTCGCTTATCAATTAATCGTTAGTCGATCGATAAGATCAATCAACTTTAGATTAATTCATTAATCTAACTTAACTTAACTTGTATCCCTGTTTTAAATCATTACCATAAAATTGAATTTGTTTTTCATTCATTTTTTATATAACTTATGAAAAATATATTGAAATTGTGGAGATCGTGTTGCTCTAAGCTTCAACCTGCAGTGAGAGTGACATGGGCAGAGTCAACCAATTACTCCCCTGCTCCTGATCTTGTTGACGAGGCTCAGCTGGTATTTAAGCTCCTGAGAGTGATCCATCTCTTGCTGGAACATTCAGTCATATCAGTACTGTTGGTAAAGCCACCTGATAGTTCCTGTGAATAATCTTTGAGTAACTTTGAATTTTGTCTATGTTTTAAGGACTTTTCCAGTGAACATTGTTGACTCACCTGTATCTTGGTCCTGGTACTTTCCTATAATCCTCTCTTGACCTGGGAACAACCTAGAGCTCTCAGCTGAGTACCTCTTTGCCTCCGTCCTGTCACTCTCTCCTCTCTTGGAACCTCACACACACCACAACAATGAAATACCTGATACTAACCTGCTGGAACCTTCTCTCCTCCTCTGAGTCTGCCTCTTCAGCAATATCTGTAAGAAAAAAGAACACTTGTTTACAAACCTTCCCTCCTCTGGATTTATCTGTGTATATGTTGCTCTTCCCTTTCAGGACCTGCTTGATCCCCACCTTCACTGAAAACGTCTGCCTGTCATTTTCAGTCAAGCCTGTATTTTTACTCCTAAAGCTAAAATCTAATAGAATGTTCTACACACGGCAAGACTGACAGTGAGCAGGTTCTTGAATCCCTTTCTCTTCAAGAGAAACATAACAAAATGAGAAGACTCAACAGATTCTAGTGCAACAACAAAAACATTCTGATAACATGGATAAGCTAGGTGGTATTTTTTTTCCCCTTATTTAAAAAATAACCTCTCTCTTACCATCTACAGCCTCCTCCACGAACCAGAATCTGGCAACTTCTCCAGCAGCAACCCCTAGTAATCTTTTCCCCCAAGAACCGGACATCCGACACAGTCAGTTTTTTAGTGGTAATTCAGATCATTTGGGTGGTTTTTCTTTACAATGTAAACTGGCATTTAACAGAGTCCCCTTAACATACACTTCTGGTGCTGAACACATCGCATACGTAATTTGAAGACTCCAAGGTGACGCACTACAAAGCTCCCACGCCTATTTTCATTTAAGATCCATTAATAATTATCTGTTCTCTACTTTCATGAAGGATTTTTCAGTTTGTTATTGATAAAAATGATGCTAAATGAAAAATGAAAGGATATTTTATTGCTGCTTGTCCAGCATGTTTAAAAGTCCATTCCCACCAGTAGAACAGGAGATACTAGTGGGTGTATGTGCTACTTCTCCTGGCTGTTGTTTAACTTTTCCTTCAAAACTCTGTTAATATCATAAATCTCCCTGTGTTGGTGTTAATGGACTCTGGAGCGGAAAAAAAATCTGTTCAGCAGCAATCTAGTGGAACAACTTCTCACCTCCATGAAGGAACTTTCTCAGTCCTTGTCTATGGCAGTGCTCACTGGTCAAAATCTCTCCACCATCTCCTATAAGTTCTCTACAATCCACATAATTATCACTGTAGCACATACACCCACCATTAATTTAAACAATTGTTACAGCAATACTCACTCCAGGTCTCCTCTCTTCCCTCAGACCAATTTATAATGGTGTTATGTTTATTAAGCCAAGGAAAGCCTAATATCACTTTGGATTCTCAGAATGGGAAAACAAAAAACTCCCCCCATTCATGATGATTATTTTGTTTTTCTGGAGACCTGGAGTGAGTATTGCTCTAATAACTGTTTAAAATCTGCTGTCTCTGCATCCATCCCACATCCCATTAATACTGAAAAGATTGATTTATCATCCATTCCCTCCTGTTATCATGACCTTGCTTCTGTATTTAGTAAATCTAAAGCTCTCTCATTACCTCCTCACCGTCCATATGATTGCGCTATAGACCTCCTTCCAGCAGCCCCTTTGCCATCTTGTAGACTCTATAATCTGTCTGGTCCTGAGAAGGAGTCAATACGTGAAAACGTCAAGTTTTCCTTAGCTTCTGGTATCATTCGTCGGACCACCTCTCCCATAGGAGCTGGATTTTTCATTGTTTCTAAAAATGATAAATCCCCGAGGCCTTGTATTGATCACAGAGAACTGAACCAAGTGATCACTAAAAATAAATACAGTTTCCCCCTCACTGATTCAGCATATGAACAACTCCAAGAGCCCACCATATTCACAAAACTGGATCTCCTTGCCTACCACCTGGTTCGTATAAAAAAGTGATGAATGTAAAATAGCTTTCAGACCTCTATTAGGTCATTTTGAGTACTTGGTTATGGCATTCGGTTTAACTAATGCAACCGCAGATACTTACCTCCTGGAACCTCCTCGCCTCCTCCCCCGCAGTTTTCCAAGCTTTCTCTGAGACTTTCTCCAGCAATTTGTTTTTGTTTATCTGGACGACATTATAAAATAATCAACAACACACTCAGCATGTTCGAACTGTTTTACAACGATTATTGGAGAATCAACTTTTTGTCAAAGCTGAGACATGTGACTTCAGTGCATCTTCCACTACCTTTTTGGGCCTTATTTTCAAGAATGGACA